GAAATAATTTTTCGAATAAAAAAATTATTAAGAATAAAAAAGAGAAGAAAATGATTAAGCGTTGTTCATTTGGTGTAAGTTTTGGTGTAATGGTTGGAGATGATTTTTAGTTTGATGCAAAATTAGGTGTAAAATGATGCAAAACTTACCTCAAATTTTGGTGTAGGGTTGGAAATGGTCTGAGTACTTGCAAAACGACCCACTTACTAGTGAAATTAGATGTTATTCAAGTTTGAACATTGCTACGTGTACATCAAAATTTATATAATGGACTATATAATCCTACATGGCACTTTATCATTTATCAGTCTAAATCAGATTTTTCATCTAATCATTTCCCTCCTAGTATCTATCATTTACATTTTTTTATGTATAGGTAGCAAAATCCTCTGTTTTAAGGTACTACAAGAATGATAGCCCGAAACCAAGTGAAAACTCACAAAATATGCAATTCATAAGTGACTGCAATACCTACCATGGTAAAATAATTTCTATACGATAAATTCAGATAGTATTTAACATTTTATGCATATCTCAACAAAGATCCACGTGTGCGATACTTAAAAATCGAATATGGAGATTCGATTCAATAGAACAAAATTGCACTACAACCTAACAATACATATTCTAGCAAACAAATTGGACTTGCATTTACTACCTCAGTAATGCCAATAAACACAAATTTCAATCAGATCTATTATGCGATAGACAGATAAACAAAAACGTGCATAGATACACGGTAGGGTAAAATCTACAATATACCTTTTCGTCGCAAGAACTGCAAAGAGCCGCCTCGTCGGCTGCACAGAAAAGAATAGCGGCGGCACTTTCGCAGACATCACATACTGTTCTCATTATTCCTATTTGCTCTTTCCTTCAGATTTCTGAAACACGTGGAATTCTATATCAATTTCACTATCTACAAAATCTTCGTCTCTTTCAATGACGTCATAATCAAATTCACGGATTGCGAATCAATCAACTTTTCATACACTTAACTGTAGATATTATAAATATACATACATATACATGTGTATGTATACACACAGAGAAAGAAGATAGGGGGCGGCGCAAATTTTATATTAGGAAGAGGTAGAGGAGGAATGGGGTCGTGGAGAAGACGGACGAGAAGTACGGAATTGCATATAATATAAAGAAAAAAGCGCGTATGGGTTTACTCTCTCGGGAGCACTAAAAGCATACTCGCCACAATAAGCTGACGCGTGTAGTTTTGATTTTGTGGTGAATGTCCTGTAACGCCCTTGGTTTTAAAAAATTCGATGATTTTTAACCTAATACTTTTAAAATAAATAAATAAATTTGTGAATGTAAAATGGAGATTACGAGGTATGGAGTTAATAAGCCCATGTTTGTCCATGTTCTTTCAAAATTTATTTTCAACCATACATTTTTAATAAAATAATATTTTTCATCACATCAATAAATTTTTCTTATTTTTTCACCACATATTTTCCATCATATCACTATTTAAAATACATTCTTTTCTCAATAATATTTATCAAACACCTCCTAAACAATGGATAAATGATATTACTTATTTTCCACAAAATATAATTTGATCAATTATAAATAAAGTCTGTTTGTTTTTCATTTTTATAGTAAAAATGTATTTTGAAAAAGTGAATTAATGAAAAATATTGTTTTATTAAAGAATGTGTAGTTAAAAAAAAGAAATAAAAATACATTTTGAGAAAAATTGGTATCAAACGAGGGTATAGTTTATAATAATAATTATTTTTTTTTATTATTTGGTTTTCAACAAAAAAATAATCTTTTTTAAAAAAATTTTAAGTAGATGAATAGAATATTTTTTTTTTCGAAAATCGGAAATACCATATTTGATGCAAAATGAAAGGCCTTAATTTGAACTACAAATTAAAGGTTAAGCTCCCCGTTGGATAAAATAGAGTTTCAAATAATGATTTTTTAAAAAGAATATATAGTTAAAAGGAATGAAAAAAATTAGGGATGGTAAAAAAAAATTCGACCCGCATGCCCTGCTTCGAACGAGGTGGGGATAACCGGCTTAATCGGGTATTCGGGTCAAAGATGGGACGGAAATTTTGCTCCGGGCGAGAATGGATAACGAGTGGCCCACCCTGCCCCCGTTTATTATTATTATTATTATTATTATTATTTTGAATTCAATATTTAAAATGGAAAATTTCACGAAATTTTATTAGTTCTAATAGAAAATGGCTACTAAAATTATTTGTCTAACTCTAGGGGGCAATAAAAATAAATTATCAAAAACATTAAAAAAAAAAAAAAGAATGAAAAAAAGGGGGTAATGGCCTCTCCCCGCCCCGTAGTCATCCCTAGAAATGATTTTGAATTTTCGTACATCATATTTTATTGTGTAAAAGTATAGTTGAAAATAAATATATAGAAAAAAGAATTTTGAAATAATGATTATCAACCAGAGACAGAAACAATCTCATTTTTGGCCATGGACTTAAATATAATTTTTTCGCACTCCCTTCATCACACACAAGATAGAATTTTTTCTATTTTCACACAGATAAAAAATATATATAATTAATGTAGTTTGAACTTTGAAATGATGTAACTCTACATTAAATAATGATTTAATTATGAATGGATGAAATTTGTTAATAACAATACACATTAAGGATATATTAAAAAAAATTAAAAATCATCTATACTTTCAACAAGGAAAGTGACATATAATTTGGAACACACAAAAAATGAAATGAAGCATATCTTTATGGAATAGTGAGAGTAACATAAAATCATAATTAAATTAGAATTTATATAATTTTATTTTTTGAAATCAATTATATTTTATAATAATATTTAATTCTTGTAGGATTCTTTTCTCTTTTATTTCGATATGTAAAATGGGGGCACTAGTAAGTTTTCCATAAAGTGAAGCTAAACATGTTACACGGGAGTGCACATCGATTTAGTCCAAAAATTTGGTCATGGAAATTTAATAAACTATTCATATTCATACCATAATGTGTTTTATTTTTGTCATTCTTCCATTTTTCATTTTTCAAAAATAAAAGAATTACTTAGCCATTATTTAATATCCATTATTCTTAAAATACATTGTTCCTTTCTTCTTTTCAATCACATATCTTTTGAATAAAATAATAAATCCAAAACATTTCCTAATTTTTTAACCATATATTCTCCATCAATCTATTATTTCAAAATACATTTTTAGAATAAAAATGGGACTTGAACAGACACTTAATATAGCAAAATCATTAAAACGGAAGATAATGCTATTTATGACTATGTGTCATTACCAATTTAGGTGATAACTGTCTGTTATTAAATAATAAATTCACATAAATACAATATTATATGATTCATTTAATTGAATATATTATATATGGTCACCTAAATGGGTGATTTAGCACTATTATACAATATTATTATATTTTATTTTATTTTTCATGTACACACTGTTAACCTCCGTGTGTATTTGGTGTTCCCTTAATGCATGACGATTGGGACAATCCTAATGTTTGACAACATTATTGAACTTGTCTTCAAATCAAACATTATTGAACTTGTCTTAAAATCCAAACCTCAAGAGAGGAAGCCAAAAAATGGGCAATCATGCTACACAATTTTTATCTCCCTGACCTATCATAGCGGGCAAGCTGGGCAATACCAGAGCCTACGTGGCCATGGTAAAGCAGATTTATCCAAAAATGGGGGTTCGTTGGAGAATCTAGAAGGGGTAGGAGAGTGGGGGCGAGTGGGGTGGATTAGGTGGTTGGAGGTTGGGTCGTCTTGTAGTACACTCTTTAATTTGTAGCCACTAATTGCAAAGTAATATGTGGAATGAAAGCGACCCTCTAGTAATCTTCGTCCACCAATTTGGTCTGCTCTGTCCCATATATGATAAGCCCAACAATGTTTATTCTAAAAGGGCTTCATATTTTGCCCAATAGTATTGTATGAGGTAAATTTCATTCCTGATCACCAGACTTTCAAAAAAATCTCACTTGAGTCATTANTTTTCTAAAAGGGCTTCATTTTTTGACCTATAGTATTGAATGAGGTAAATTTCATTCCTGATCACCAGACTTTCAAAAAAATCTCAATTGAGTCATTAAATCTTAGTTTATATCAACTGGGTCATTGAACTTCAGTTTAGCTTCAAATTCTATCGTCCCATTGTCTAAATCACTTAATTGGCAATCATTGATTTTTCACGCAATTGTTACGCAACACTCTAGAAATGAAAATAGTAAAAGAGGTTAATGATAATGTTTTTATATGAAAAGGTTAATTTTATTTTATTTTTAACATTTTTATGATTTGGCAGAGTCGTAAGTTATAATGCCACACAGCAATTATTCAAAAGTATGTCGCATTGTAGTTATCAAAGAAATAATTTTCATCCAAATGTGGTTGACAAGGTGGTCTTGTGGTGAATTTGAAATCAAACATGAAGTTCAGTGATCAAATTGAAACTAAATTGAAGTTAATGATCAAATTGGACTAATTTGATCAATGATCCAATTGAGATGAATTAAGCCCTTATTTGATGGTCATTATTGTATAAAAATAATGTTTTGAATAGTGATTTTTATAAAAAAATGTATGGTTAAAAAATGGGTAAAAGTTTGAATTTACGTGCAAAATATTTATTGTGTAAACCCCTGTTTGACCTTCATTAATTTCTCATTCTCATTCTTCATTTCAACCACAGATTCTTCAAATAAAATAATATTACACACAAATCAAAAATATTTCATCACGGTTCCAAAATTTCTATTCTCCTCAAATTTAGATTCAAACACACAATATTTAGTTGAAAATGAATATTATAAGTAAATTATTTTGTTTTAAAGAAAGTCAAACATAATAGATGAAGTTCGTATATTTACCCAATGAGTGGACAGGAACAAACTTCAAGTCTAACGACTTTTGCCCGAATAAATAAATACATAGGAAAAAGATCTTATAGTGTTTAATTGGCTTTATTTTTTATGAAAATACCATTTTTCACCCAAATTTTTATTTTTGGGATGTTTGATTGACAATTTTTTTCATAAAAAATATTTTCTAACTTTTGGTCACGTGAACATACTTTTCACAAAAACAAGAAAAAAATTTTCTTTAAGAAATGTGATTTTTATTTTCCAGATAATTTACTCTCTTTTTTCTCTCTCTTATCCATCTCCTCTTAGAGATGGCAACGAGTTGAGTTCGAGGCGGGGCACCCCCGCCCCATCACGCCCCGCCACTCCCCCACCCTGTCCCGTCCCGTCCCTGGGCGGGGCGGGGCGGGTTCGGGGTNTTTTCTAAAAGGGCTTCATTTTTTGCCCAATAGTATTGAATGAGGTAAATTTCATTCCTGATCACCAGACTTTCAAAAAAATCTCAATTGAGTCATTAAATCTTATTTTATCTCAACTGGGTCATTGAACTTCAGCTTAGCTTCAAATTCCATCTCTCCATCACGTTACACATATCGTCCCATTGTCTGAAATAACTTAATTGGCAATCATACCACAATTGATTTTTCACGCAATTGTTATGCAACACTCTAGAAATGAAAATAGTAAAAGAAGGTAATGATTATGTTTTTATATGAAAAGTTTAATTTTATTTTATTTTTAACATTTTTATGATTTGGCAGACTCGTAATTTATCATGCCACGCAGTAATTATGTCAAAATGAATATAAAAAGTAAATTATTTTGTTTTAAAGAAAGTCAAACATAATAGATGAAGTTCACATATTTACCCAATGAGTGGACAGGAACAAACTTCAAGTCTTAACGAATTTTGCCCGAATAAATAAATACATAGGAAAAAGATCTTATAGTGTATTTAATTGACTT